CCAGCCTGTCCTATCCAGACAGACCTGCGGAGACAACAACATGCACAAAAACAAGACAGAGCAAAACCAAACAACAATGTACAACAAAACAGCAACAACATCAAGCCACTGAAAGAACAAATTAAAATATACCAAGAAAGAAAAGCTTGTAGTTAGTTCAAGGATCGCTGGACTTTAAGAGTGTTTTCCAGTCCAGCCTGTTGGGGCACTTTGGTGCAATTTTCTTGGCCTCTTTTCATCAGTAGTTTTCCATTTTCCAGAGTTTCTTCCTTCTAAGCCTCTGTGTTCATCCTGTGTCCTTCAAGAAACTCTATCAAGATCATCTCTGCAATTCCAAAGAGTAGTTGCCACATATTCTGAGCGGACTTCCCTGCCCTGGATTGAATGGGCTCTGCAGGTCTCCTTGGAAGCCACTGTTTGGAAAGCACTCTAATGAGAGTAAAACATTTTATGACTGAGAGAACTTGTATGCAATCATCCACTGACAGAGACATGTTTCAACCCATTTTGTTTGGAATCAACCTGAGCATGTATGAAATGTGATTCTAATAAAAACGATGTCTAGTCCTGTGCCATCCTCACCAGGGCTGTGTTGAGTCCATTGTTGCAGCCACTGTGTCAATCGTCTGGTTGAGCGTCTTCCCCTTTTCCCACTGACCCTCTACTTTCCCAAGCATGGTGTTCTTTTTCAAGAACCGATCTCTCCCGACATGTCCAAAGCATGTGAGAGGAAGTCTTACCACCCTTGCTTCTCAGGAGCATTTTGGCTTTACTTCTTGAAAGAAAGACTTGCTCATTTTTTCTGGCAGTTCATGGTACTTTCAACATTATTCATCAGCACCACAAGTCAAATGCATCGATTCTTCTCCAGTCTTTCTTATTCACTGACAAACTTTCAAAAATGTAGGAGGTAATTGAAAATACCATGGTTTGGGTTAGGCACACCTTATTCCTCAAAGTAACATCCTTGCTCTTCAATATTGTAGAGAAGGACTTATGCAGTAGATTTTCTTCATGTAATCTGGATTTTGATCTCTTAATTACTGCTTCCAAATGCATTGATTGTGGATTTAAGCAGGATAAATCCTTGACACTGTCAATCCTTACTGTTGCATGGTGTCGTGTTTTGCTCCCATAGTGAGCAGTTCGGTTTTCTTTACATTGAATTGCAATGCATATTGAAGGCTCCAGGCTTTGATGTTTACCAGCAAGTATTTCAAACCCTCCTCACTTTCAGCAAGCAAACTTGTGTCATCTGAACAAAATAGGTTGTTAGTAAGCCATCCTCCAATCCTGATGCCATGTTCTTTTTCATATAGTCCAGTTTCTTGGGTAATTTGCTCAGCATACAGATTGACTTACTGTAGTGAAAGGCTGCAAGCCTAATGTGTACCTTTCCTGATTTTAAATCATGGAGCATTTCCTTCTTCTATGAGAAAGACTGTCTATTGTTCCATATACATGTTCCACATGAGCATAATGAATTGTTCTAGAATCTCCATTCTTATCAATGCTATCCATAGTTTGTTATGATCTACATGGTTAAATATCTTTTCACGGTCAATAAAACACACATAAATATTTTTCTGTTATTGTTTGCTTTCAGCCAAAATCCATCTGACACCAGCAATGATATCCCTTATTCTATGTCCTCTTCTGAATATGCCAGAACCTCTGGCAGCTCCTTGTCAATCTATTGCTGCAACCATAATTGGATGATCTTCAGCAAAATTTCACTTGCATGTGATATTAATGATATTGTTCAACACTATTCACTTTCTGTTGAGTCACCTTTCTTTGGAATGGGCACAAATGTGGATGTCTTTCTGTTAATCGACCAGGTAGCTGTCCTCCAAATTTGTTGACATACATGAATAAGAGCTTCTAATGCTTCATCAGTTTGTTCAAATATTCCAAGTGGTCTTCCATCAATTCCTGGAGCCTTCCGTTTTAGGCCAATAGCCTGGAGCCTTTTCACAAATGCCTTCAGTGCAGATTGAACATTTTCCTTTAATACCATTGGTTATTGATATAGTTGAATGTTAATTGGTTCTTTCTGATATGGTGACTCCATGTCTTCTATCTTTTAAAAAAATATTTTCTGCATCATTCAACATTTTGCCCTTAGAACCTTTAATATTACAACTCAAGGCTTGAAATTTTTCTTCAGTTCTTTCAGTTGAGACATGATCAATGAGTCCTCTTTTGGATTTCCAATTCCAGGTCTTTGCACATTTTATTATAATATTTTACTTTGTCTTCTCAAGCTGCCCTTTGAAAATTTTTGTTCAGCTCTTTGACTTTGTCATATCTTTACCAATTCTACATTAAAAAATAAGTTTCAGGGTATTTTCTGACATCAAATTTGATATTTCCTTTCTTTCTTGTTTTTTTTTAATGACTCTTTCTCCATGTATGATGACCACTTCCTCCATGTATGATGACTTTATGATTAAAGTCACTAAGTCTCATTAAGTCATTAGTCTTTAAGTCTCACAACTCATTAAGTCTTCTGCCATTAATGTTCAATGTGTCAAATCTGTTCTTGAGCTGTTCTCTAAATTAAGATGGGATATACTCTAGATTTTATTTTGGCCTTTGAGTACTTGTCTTAATTTTCTTCAACTTAAACCTGAATTTACATTTGAGCAATTGTTTGTTCTTCATTTTGGTTGATGATATTGAGATTTTCCATTATCTCTTGCCACAAATGTACTCAATTTGATTCTTGTGCATCCCATCTGGAGAGGTGGAACTGGGGTACAGTTCTTGTTTATGCTTTTTAAAAAAACATATTTGTAATGAAGAGATCACTGGTGATTCAAAATTCTATCATGCAATCTTCAGCTTCATTCCTATCACCAAGGCCATGTTCTCCAACTACTGTTCTGTCTATGGGACAAAGACTGGGCTTTCGACTCCCGTGAAGAGTTTCAGTCTTGAAACGCACAGGAACTGTTCTATCCTATCCTATAAGGTCACTGTAAGCCAGCATTGGCTCAATGACATTGGTTGAGTTCTTTCTCTAGGATATCAATCTTTACATGTTCTTTTTCATGATGACTTTCTATTTTGCTAGATTCATAATTCACGTAGTTCACATTCTGATTATTAATGGATATTTCCAGGTTTGTCTTTTAATTATGAGTCATGCCCCACCAGGAAATTAATTAGGCCTGAAAGCTTCACTCTGTCATGGTTGACTCTTCTTTAGTCATGTCTTGAGTGCCTTTTCACCTGAGGTGCTCATCCTCCAGCCCCGTATCACTGTATCTGACAACCTTCTGCTGCCCTTCATAAGGTTGTCAGTAGCTCGTCTCTCAAAAGTGGGAGCCTTGACACGATATCTGATAGCGTTCCCCTGCTGTTTATAAGGTTTGCAGCTGCTAAGTCTTCAGAAGTGGGCAGCTTATTCCTTAGCCTGGTCTTATTCTGTAAATGCCAGGGTTACTTGTTCACCTGGGGTGACCCAGCTGCTCTTTGAAAGACCAGTGACACACCTTCCAACATCACAGCTACATACTAGCCACCACTGTATAACACCCTGACAGACGAGTGGTATGCCAATGTGTGAATGCCATCAACAACATGAATTAAAATATGAAGAGGATGAAAAAAAAGGGTTCTTTTGGGGGGTGGCCAAGGTGCAGGGAGAAGAGATGTCTAATCATGCGAGAACTGATTGCCTTCACCCCCTCCAAGAGGGTAGTCTGGAACAGTGTCCTTTTCCACCGGCAGCAGAGGGACCACCAGTGACGACCCTTTCACAGTAATAGCCTGTGTGGTAGACAGGGTCAGAAAAGTGGAGATGTTTCCTGTGTGTTGTACAGTTTGGCATTAAAGTAGATGTGCAGGTAGTTCGTGTTGGCACAGAGATCCCTCTACTGAGGAGCAGGAGGACCTATGTGCTGCTGATAAAGAAACCATAAGATGGCCTTTTCTTCACTCTTAAGATTTAGAGAAGTGTGAGGGGAAATGGGATAAAATCTGAATGTTTGGTGCTCAATGGCAGGATGAAGGATGTGAAATGAAACAGATTTATTCCTTCACACAATTGCCTACTCTGGCTCGATAGAATTGCATAGGCCTACCTTTGAGTGTTTCATAAGTCTTTGGTAGTAATGATTTTTAAAGCCCTTGTGGCACTGTAGGTTAAGCTTTGGGCTGCTAACTACAAGATCAGACATGCAGAGGGAGAACGATAAGGGTGTTTGTTCCCATGTCAGAAGCCCCACAGAGCAGGTCTTCTTTGTCCTACAGGGTTGCTTGAGTTGTAATGGACTCCATAGCAGTGGGTCTGGCTTTGGATTGGAATAAGATTAAGAATTAAAACTCCATTTAGGTGTTTGCTTCCTGCATGTTCTAACTACTATATTTTTATAATCTCTCTTGGAATCAAATCCTGTATAGTTTAGACAAAGCAAAATACTGTTTTGTAGCAATGAAAGAGAATATGTCTTCATTTGCCTGTTAGCAAATGAGTGTTCAGATTTTGCTTCAAAATCACCTATGAAATATTTTGATCTATGGCAAAGACATTAAAATAACAGCTAGAAAAATTGAAGAAAAACACGGATATCCTACAAACATCTATATCTGTATTGAATAGCAGACCTTGGAGATTTCTGACTTAACATCGGCCCCACTGTTAAATAATAAGTGGAAAAGGAGGAGGAGAAAAAGGGAAAACTTAATTGTACATTCAATGCAATAAATAGCATTTTCTATCCGGAATGACCAGTGGTGATATGAAACTTTGAGCTTTCTCTGTTTTGTCATGGAAAGTGTACTGATGAACATCTTCACCCTCATACTCATAGTACAGTTCTTCATTGGGAATTTGAGCAACGGATTTACAGTGCTGATAAGCTGCATCGACTTGGCAAATAGAAGAAGGCTCTCAACAGCGGATCAAATCCTCACTGGTTTGGCAATCTCCAGAATTGGTCTACTTTGGGAAATATTGATAAGTTGGTTTGAATTTAGGCATTACTCTGCCTTTTTTGTGCATGGACTACAATTAAGAATTATTATTTTTGCCTGGATAATCACCAATCATCTCAGCATCTGGCTTGCTACAATCCTTAGTGTATTTTATTTGCTCAAAATTGCCAGTTTCTCCAGTCATATATTTCTCTACCTAAAGTGGAGAGTTGAAAAACTGATTCTGGTGATATTGCTGGGAAGTTTGGTGTTCTTGTTTTTAAATATTCTACAAATGAATTTATACATCAATGAGTGGATGCATATGCATGAAACAAGCACAACTTGGAATTCCACACAAGGAGATGCTACAGAATTTTCAGGGTGGCTATTACTAACAATGACTATATATACGTTAATACCATTTACTGTGGCCCTGATGGCTTTTCTTTTGTTAATCTTCTCCCTGAGGAAACATCTCAATAGAATGCAACTCAGTTCTCAAGGATACAAAGATCTCAGGTCCAAGGCCCACATAAATGCCTTGAAAATGGTGATATCCTTCCTCCTACTGTACGCTATTTTTTGCTTGTCCATTCTCATATCATGGATTGGTAGTACATATAAAAATGATCAGCTGCAGAAGATTGGTCAGATTATTGGAACTGTCTATCCATCAAGCCACTCATTTATCCTGATTCTGGGAAACCCTAAACTAAGGAAGACCACTCTTTGGTACCGTGGCTGCTGAAGTGTGGGCTGAAAGATGAGAAGTTCGAGTATCATTGACCATTCAGCAGTCATCTAGATAAAGAAAAAGGAGTTGCTGAAAGATGTCTATACTTCCACCAGCTTTGAGAATTCATTAAATGTAAATAGAGAATAACATCTTAGCTAAATATATCACATACTCACAGACTGCAGTTATATATTACCGAGAATTTGAAACTCGCTTTGGAAAATCATGGACAAATCACGTTGTACTTTGAAATTTTGTAGTACAACATACAATCTGAAAGGTTAATATTTGAATCTCCAGACTTTCCATTGATAATAGTCTTTCAATGCTAAGTCAAGAACGAGAAGGGGGTTGTAAACTTCCTATTCTTTGTGCATTGAGATTATATTATAAAAGAGACCTACATTTATTGTAGGTAAACACTGAACCTGGGTCATGTAAACACTGAACCTGGGTGCTTCAAATGACTGGGGGCTAAAGTCACCTGTAGTTGTTCAGTGCCAGCAAGACAGTTCCGACCCAGAGCAACTCCTGTGCACAACAGAAGGAAACACTGATCGGCCTACGTCATCCTCACACTTGTTCTTACGCTTGATTCCTTTATTGCAGCCACTGTCTCAACCCATATCCTTAAGCGCCTTCCTGTTTTTCACTACCCCTCGACCAAGCATGATGTCCTTCTCCAGGGACTGGTCTCTCCTGACAACATGTCCAAAGTACATGAGAGGAAGTCTACCACCCTTGCTTTTAAGGAGCACGTAGGACCTACTTCTTCCAAGACAGACTTTTTTGAACTTTTGGAAGTGCTTGGTACTTTCCACATTCAGTGCCAGCACTGCAATCCAAACATATCAAGTCTTCTTAGGGCTTCCACACTCAATGTATATGTTCAGTGTGCAACTTTCACAGGCACATGAGGTGATGAAGATACCATGCCTTGGGTCAGGTGCACTTAGTCCTCAAAGAAACCCCCTTTATTTTAATATTCTAAAGACGTCTTGAGCAGATTTACCCAAGGCAATATGCCATTTAATCTTTTGACTGCTGTTTCCATGAGCACTGATTGTGGATTCAGGTAAGACAAAATCCTTGAAAACTTCAATCTTTTCTTCATGTATCATGATGCCATCTACTGATTCAATTGTGAGGCTATTGATCTTTGCATTGAGTTGTAATAATCCAGACTGAAGGCTGCAATCCTTGATCTTTGTCAGCAAGTGTTTCAAGTCCCTCTCACTCTCAGTCAGCAAGGTTGTGTCATCTCCATACAGCAGGTTGTTGATAAGCCTTCCTCTGATTCCGATGCCTTGTTCTTCTTCATATAACCAAGCTACTCTGACTATTTGCTCAGCATATCTATGGAACAAGTATGGTGAGAAGATACCACCTGTTGCATATCTTTCCTGATTTTAAACCATGTAGCATTTCCTTTTTCTGCTTGCACAACTGCCTCTTGGGACCATAAGTTCCTCATGCACACCATGAAGTCTTCTGGAATTCCCATTTTCCCCCCAAGTCTATCCATAGTTGCTATAATCTGAACAGTTGGATGCCTTGGCATAGTCACTAAAACAATGATGTCCAATGATATTCCTTGTTCTACTCTCTCTTCCGAATCTGGCCTGAACCTCTGCCAACTCCGTGTCCATGTTTCAATGTTAGGCGTGTAGTCTTCAGTACCTGAGTCCTCCGTCGTCTGTTCTTCGTTTAGAAGCTTTGCTGAAACCTGTTCACTTTGGTGACCCTGACGGCCTTTTAAATACCAGTAAATACTTAGCTTCCAGCATCGCAGGAACACACAAGCCACCACGGTATGACAAACTGACAGACAAATGGGTCATCTATAGGAGAGCTGAGAAATAGAGCATTTTACAATGATGGAAATGCCCTATATCTCTGTGGTTCAGTATAGTGCCCACTAGCTACGTAGAGCTTATGAGCACTTAAAAAGTGGCTAATGCTTTGAGGAGTGGAATTTTACACCTTATTAATTTTAACTAAAATTTTGTTTTAAATAACCATATGTGGCATGTATGGTTATGATTGTTTTCTTGGCTCATAAGTCTGGTATCTGGAATAAAAATATTTAAAAGCTGAGGTCACTTGGGGCTGTTAACAGTAGGACCCACATTGGCCTCTCCATCTGGCTTGGGTTTACACAGGGCATTGTGGCCTGAGGATAGTTGCACTACCTGCACAGTGGCTTTGGGCTCAAGGATAAATCGTCCAGGAGTCAAAATGGATGTCACATGGCCTTTTATGACCTAACTTCAGAATCTCCATACTCATTGGTGCCATTTTTTAATTGTTTGAAATAGTTACAAATCATTTTGGTTTTGAGGAGTATGGGATATAGATTCAATTATTTGAGGGGTGTCAAATAATTTGTGGCCAAGTTTGAAAGCTTCCAATGACTTAAAATTATATTGTTGAGACATTAGAGAGTGAGATTTCTGAGTTGTCTTAAACATTGGTTTTTGAATATGTGCTGATCAGAAGTTTGGGTTATATACTGTATTTTCTAGATTGAGGCTTAAATTTCCTAATTCATCATCAAAATGAATAGAAAAAAGTGTTTGTTTGTTTAAAGGGAGAGAATTACATTGTGAAACAATAAGAGAAAATATATTTCCAGGATGTAAGTCAACAAATGGGGAGTCAGATTCAAATGCAGTGCTTTATATGCAGAGTATAAGCAGTGCCAAAGCAGCAGGGAAGATAATATCTGCCATGAAAATCACTAGCCAATATCTATCCCTCTGGCCTGATGCTGAGCTCACCCCTGTGATTTAATTTTCAGCCAAACAATAGACATACAGTGAACAGTAACATGAGGATGTATGAACAACTTAGAGTACTCAAGCATCTGAGATCCAATGGCCAACATTTCCTCAAGGACAAAGTCAAGAAGACAGGAAGGGCTGGAAAAGATGGAGGAATGGAAATGGAAAACATGGGGAAGAAGTGTGAGGTGGCACTCAGGAATTGTCATTAGTGACATGAAACTAAACTGGTGTCCTTTCTATGCCTTTACCAAGCTCGTTTTACAACGTTATAAAAGAAGAAAGTTTTACAAAGAAAAGAAGGAAGGAAGGAAAAGAAAGTCATTATTTGATATTCTCGAGACGATAGCTGCAGTTTGTACAATTTAACTAGAGACTTTTGGGGGGAGTTCCACTTGAGGCTTTCTAGCATATGCCAGAGATCATCAGTAAGAGAAAGAAGGCAAGTGCTGACCACGGTATCTTTGGACACAGAAATATGTAGAATGCAGTCATAAAGAGTCAGTGGTTTGTTGAAGGCAGGGATCAACAGACCTGTCAAGTCTAGTGGAGATTCAATTTATGGAAATTTCTGTTGTAAAATTCATAATGGGAATTTGGGGGGAGCTGATACATTGTACTGGTTAGGAGCATTAAGTGGATCAGTAGCTACAAAGTCTCCCTGATTGATTTTATTCTCCATTGTTCCAGTACTTGTCTTCTGTGGATGATGAATTTCACTATTGGTTCCAATGTGATTATGAGGAAGTATTTTGCTGTAAGATTCAAGTAATAACTTTTGACTTCCTCCAGATAGGAGTTTGACTATTTTTGCACTATTTTGATTACCTGCTTTATGATCTTCAGTTTCCTCCAGGGAGAAATGGCAAATGAACTGAGTGCTTTGGATGATTGTTCTGGGGACTCTCTGTTCTCCTTATATCTTCTAAACAGCCAGTTAAAAATGGAAAGAAATCTGACATTTAATTTTTGTAATAAATATGCTTTTTAACTTCTCAGTCTCCTTAACGTGTTTTATTTTTAATTCTCTTTGAACTGCCATTGATCTCCTGGGTGCTTTTAAGCCTCTTCTTACAGAGCCATGGGGAAATATGAGGCTGTCTTCTCTTGTAAAGATTTAATTTCTGAAACCCAAAGGGACAGCTCTACCCTGTCCTACAGGACCACTATGAGTCAGAGTTGACTAGATGGGAGTGAGGCTGTCGCTTCTTTTTGTTTTTAAATAGAGCTGTACTAGAGAGATAAAGCCTGAGGTGCATATTCTGGGGATCCTCACACAGGGGCAATGCAAAAGCTATGAAAGTAATGATTTCATTCCTACTACTCTTTGCTACATACTATTTGAACAATCATTTGCTAATGTTGACCTATTCAATTTGGGACAATAGAATGGCCATGATATTTGCTAATGTGCTAGTATTTTTCTTTCCAGCTGGCCCTTCATGTGTACTGATATTTCTGAAACAGCAAACTGAAGGAGGCTTCACGCTGTCATGAGAAAGCTGAAGCATGTTTAAGAGGAAGGAAATCCCCATCCACATAAGCATGCTCGATATGCACGGCGAAGCTCTGAAGGAAAACACAAGTCCGGAACTGAGCTCACCCACAGTTCAATTTTCAGTCAAGCAGTAGGCAGGGAACAATAGTACTAGGGAGACACAGATACCTTAGAATTATCAGCTTTGTGATTAAAAGGGCAATCTAACCAAAGGATAAAACTCAGGAGGGTTAGGAAAGTAGGAAAAGGTGAGGGGTGGGTGGGTAGTGGTGGTGGTGGTGGTGGTAAAGGGGGTGGGGGTGGGGGAGTGGCAGAGGAGCAAAATATGCCCCCAAATGGGTTGTTTTCACCTACCTTTATTTCTCTAATAATGTTTTATGAGCGTGTCTAAGCATTTCTGAGAAAAAGCTGCCTGGTTAAAGTGAAAAGAAACAGATTGGTACCCTGTCTGCATGAGATATGGAGATGATATATTTAATAGCAAAATTATAATATATTGATAATTCATTTTCCATTAGGTATGAAAAACTGGTCATTTCATTTTAAATTTTATTATATGTTGGAGAAAAATATATGAATAGAAATTCAGGAAGGACTATAATATGTACTTATGTATGTGTAGCAATGTGTGTTCATAAACAGGTTCACATGCAGAAACATATACAGATTTAATTCCTAAAAATGAGAGTAAAGCTGATAATTTAAAAGTAGGTTGGATAACCCAAATGAAA